AACTTAGATATTATATCTTATAATGGTATATTTATATTTTAACATGGCGAGCCGGTAAGCCAGCAGATTTCGTTCGTATGACCAAGAGCTCTGCTGAGTGGGTCATCCTATAACTTAAACCTACGTCAGGAGTCTTATTATAAGCCATTGGGTGCCATATAGCACCTGGGGTTTGATCCGAATAAAGGGAGGACAATTTCCATGACTCATGAGTCTTCAACCGGTTGTGGAAAGTTTTTTTCTCCGTTTCTCCTGACAAACTACTGAAGATTAACACCATTGATGAAGAATTAGACACGTGTGCCTTTATTTCTAGACGTTTCGTCATCCAGATGTTTCAAATGTTTCTAATTCTTCATCTCTGTATTATATATCATTCACGTACAACACCATTAATGTTCTGAGACAAAAACATTACTAACAATCCCTTGTATTGCTTCTACACTCGTCAGTCCTTTGTGATCAACGTTTAAACACGCTGGCGCTCCTGAAGACCCGCACAACACGCTGCCGCTCCTGAAGACCCGTACAACACACTGGCGCTCCTGAAGACCCGTTCAGCACACTGGCGCCCCTGAAGACCCGTACAACACGCTGGCGCTCCTGAAGACCCCTACAACACGCTGGCGCTCCTGAAGACCCGTACAACACGCTGGCGCTCCTGAAGACCCGTACAACACACTGGCGCTCCTGAAGACCCATACAAACAGCTGGCGCTCCTGAAAGACCGTACAATACACTGGCGCTCCTGAAGACCCGTACAACACGCTGGCGCTCCTGAAGACCCGTACAATACACTGGCGCTCCTGAAGACCCGTACAACACACTGGCGCTCCTGAAGACCCGTACAACACGCTGGCGCTCCTGAAGACCCGTACAACACGCTGGCGCTCCTGAAGACCCGTACAACACGCTGGCGCTCCTGAAGACCCGTACAATACACTGGCGCTCCTGACGACCCGTACAATACACTGGCGCTCCTGAAGACCCGTACAACACACTGGCGCTCCTGAAGACCCGTACAACACGCTGGCGCTCCTGAAGACCCGTACAACACACTGGCGCTCCTGAAGACCCGTACAACACGCTGGCGCTCCTGAAGACCCGTACAACACACTGGCGCTCCTGAAGACCCGTACAACACGCTGGCGCTCCTGAAGACCCGTACAATACACTGGCGCTCCTGACGACCCGTTCAGCACGCTGGCGCTCCTGAAGACCCGTACAACACGCTGCCGCTCCTGAAGACCCATTCAGCACGCTGGCGCTCCTGAAGACCCGTTCTCTTCTTCACCACGAAGGATGGTTATGAAAAAGACGGGGGAAGCAGGAATATATTTCATCCTGTGACTCATTCCTCCTGTTGCGTTCGTAAAGCATGCCAGGATATGACTTTTTTTTTTTTGTCCATTAAACTAAATCCAGAGTGACAGAGTTGACCTCTTTCTGGAACAAGAGAAGTCTAGTTGGCAATATATTGTATATATTTTTTTATGATCAGATACACCGCAATGGAATCCTTGGAGAGAAATGGTGGAAAATGACTACATGACGAAAACAGAGACAAATGCAGTTATGGAATCCGTTATTGACAACGTTTCGCCTACGTAGTGGACTTTTTCAGATCACTTAAAAAACCCCGTTGCGTTGGCGAAACGTTCTCAATCAAGGATCTTATTACACTGCATTTATGTCTGTTTCCACTAGAATCATTCCAGCGGGTCAGGAATTTTATTACACTGAGATTTTTTCTCACATTTGCATTCTACTTTTTCACGAGGATGCGACCTGCAATAATCGACTTACACCTAGGTACGCAATTTAACTGTTAGGTAAGCAGGGCAAACAGGGTTTTAAGAAAACTGCATGTTTTACTTGGAAATCTAATCTTGGACCTTTTGGTTGTGCGCCGAATGCTCACTATCATATGATAGGGGTCGAGGGGAGGGCGGGCGGTTCCAGGACAGGTTTCTCGTTGAATATCTGATACTGCAACCCATCTTCGCACCACGCCTGATGCACGTGCAGATATAAACGTTTACGTGCTAGGCTGCCAGACGTGTCGTGGACGTTTTTTAAGTTTATTTGTGGTTAAATATACGTTTTTACAGGTTTGTGTAACCTGTCGACCACAATTTATAGGTTTACAGGAAGCGTTTAGAAATTGACGGTGGGAATCGCATAAGATTCCAGCTGCTGAACGTATTGGAAAGAGCATAGTGGGGCCTGGTGTGGAGCGCTGGGAGGAATTACAAACACTGCCACCAAGGATTAACTTC